AACTCTGGTACTCTCTTCCAAGAATGTATCATTCTCTGCTGTCCTTCCAGCAGGTAGTGAAGACTTTTGATTGACTTTGCCAAAGCCTCCAGAAACTAGAAAAAGGCTTCTAATAGTGTGTTGTGCTTTTCTTTTATGGATAATTTAAAATTTATCTAAATTCTATGCATAATTTAATTGTATCTTAACATTTTTTTACTGATGTGAGTTTATATGTGCATCTATTTTATTTTCTATGAACTGTCCTGAATCTCAGAACTGAGGAACAGACGCCTTGAACAAGCCAAATAAAACATCAGAAGAAAATGGAAGTTTTATCTTCTTTGTAGATTCATATCAAAAGCAATAGTAGATCTGTCTTTGAAAGACATCACATGAAATAAAAGTTACTCATGCAATTCATCAACTCCACTTTGCCATCTCCTTGATTATCGGGTATCAGTTCTAATCCAATTCAGCTCTGTATCAGTTGTTAGGAAAGTTGGTTTTTTTTTGCTTAAGTCAGGAGAAGGATAGAGACTTTGTCAGAGGAAAATATTTAGAGTTGCAAAGCACCCCATTGAGATTGCAGCTGGAATATGTTGATCTAAAGAGTCTCCTTTCCATTACCCCCAGTTAATGGGGAAAATGTCCTTCTATCCAGCTTTGCTTAATTCACATGTGCAAATTCACATGTGTAAATGAGACATGGTATCTATTTTGACCTAAAAGTAATTGTAATATAGTTCAATAGCAACATGACAAGGAGCTAATTTCTAGAAAACAACCAGGCTGGTGCAACGTTGGTCTAAGATTCCAGGAGACCAGGGTTCAAATCCTTGCTAATCTCTATTGGGTGATTATTTATGTTCCTGTCATTCTCCTACCACAGGACTAGCTCACAATATAAGTTAAAACAAAAATACAGTTAAAACAATAGATAATATGAAAGCCAAAAACAACAATATAACCAATTTTAAGAGGCGGTTATTTCTGGTTTTCCACTGCTTGATGAACACAGGCACTTTCCACAAGCCAATGTCACTTACACAGCAAAGTGATGTGACAACTAACACAGCAATACCGTGCCCCATCAAGATTTTGACATCTCCAAAAATTTAAAACAGTAACAGCCATCTACCGAATCTAATGCTCTCACAGTGAGCTAGAACTCAGTTCTAACAACTGTTTTTGTTTCCTCTTCCCCTACTGAACACATGATGATGTACCTTGACTTCTCTCCTGTATAGCCCAGCATAGCAGAGTTGTTTTACATGCAGAATGATATTATGGCTGGCTATTCATTGAAAACCAGATCTAACACACTGGAGGACCTAGAGAGAACACTTCTGTAGTATTTCTAAGGGCCCTTTCACATAGCCATATAATCCAGAATATCAATGCAGAAAATCCCACAATATCTGCTTTGAACTGGGTTATCTGAGTCCACACTGCCATATATTCCAGTTCAAAGCAGATCATGTGGGATTTTATTTAGTTGTGTGGAAGGGGACCCAGTCATCCAGCACTTCTCAATGGTCAATGTTCAGCAGAAGCATACCACTAATTTGCACAAGAGGACAAGAAGATGCCTAGAGATTAAAAACAATTTCATATGTGGGTAAGTGAAAGCATGGATAACAGTCCCACAGATATGGGCATTATATCATAATAGACTAGACTAAATATAAATACAGTACACATTTATAAAACATTTATTGATATGGTATAACCACATATGTAAAGATTAGCATGCTTTAAACCCATATTTCATTGCTTCATTGTATTCTGCTTGTGAGTCACAAGGGCATGAGCTTCTAAGCAAACAGAGATGATGATTGCACTAGTCATGCTGCTGGTAAGAAGCTGCTCTATGAGATCTTAAATCTTATTTATCTTCTCTTAGTCATGGGGTACTGGGAAAGGAGAGGGAATCTACTCCCTTCTTGAACTTTTTAGTGTTATCTCAAAACTATTGGAAAACCAACCATGCCAAGGTATATAATTGCCATCTGGGAGGCATTTCCTTTCTCTTCATCTCAGAAAGAGGAAAGACATGCATTTCACCATGCCCAAGGGGTTGAAGGCTCAGCTGGGTTGAAGAGGGCAACACAATGTCTAGTAGTGCAGACTTGGAGAAAATACTGTGTACAAGTTGTAATTATTGGTGACTAATAGATGAAAATGGATACAGGAATAAAAATATCAACAAAGGGGGTATTCTCACCTCTTAATTACAACTTGTAATTACAACTTTATTGGTGACTAATAGATGAAAATGGATACAGGAATAAAAATATCAACAAAGGAGGTATTCTCACCTCTTAAAGCTGTAATTTGTACTGCTGATGACATTATTAAAGTGTATCCTTGACCCTAAACTGAACAGGATCTGAGCAGGTCAGATTCTCCAGATCAATATACAACCAGACCCCAAGTTATGAACAAAATACGTTCCGTAGGTTTCTCCTTAAGTTGAATTTGTATGTAAGTTGGAACAGGTACATTTTTAAGTGTAACTCCAGCCCCCCCCAATCCCCCCCCCCACACACACACAAGCTTTGGATATTATAGGAGATGGTTAACATCCCTGTGGTGTTTATTTCGCTGTCTGTGATCCTGTTCAGAAGATTTCACCTCACTTTCTGTTCCTGTGAGAAGTGGATTTGGGGGGGGGGGTGGCTTGTTGTGGAAACAAAGATTGGTGCTAAAGCTTCAGGGGAAGACACTTTATTTCCATGATATCTTTTTGAAGAGGGAATTTCCCTTCCTGGGGATAGGTTTCTCGAACTTTCTGTTGTCTCACTCCCATTCTTAACTATGAGTTGTTGTTAAGTCAGATGATTGTAACTTGGGGACAGCCTGTATTGGTAAAGTATTGAGACATTCAGAGGACCCCAGAGATTATCAGCACTGCCTTCATTTCAAGCCTAGCTACAGAGACATAGCCAAATGATTCCCGATATCCTATTTGCTCCCCACAAAGCATGAATTGACTGGGCTTCACAGGCTGTTTAGCTGACTATTATGCTATTATGGAAAATAACATCTTGTGATAATTTCTATTTCTGTACAAAAGTCCAGTTTAACTCCAGATAACTCTGTCTCAGTATGGAATCCACAGTTTTTCTTTTCACAACATTAGCATTCCTATTAGAATTGGGGAGGGAGGAGAGATGTATGTTAAAACAACATGCGTCACATGACATAAGGAATTGCTTTATATGACTCAATCCATTCGGTCATTATCAAAATCCTTGCCAATGCTCAACATGGAAGTGGGAGAGGGACTGAAGGGTTGAAAGAGAGATGCCGGTGCCTCTAATACAGACAGATACACCATGCATGATAAATGGGAAGCATGGCTAGGAAATGCCCCCCCCCCCCCCCGATGAAAGAGAATTCAACACACTATTCTTAAGAAACACACATACCTGGCAATAATAACAATCACACTTTGAGGCTCTTTAATGTAGCAGTTAGTTGCAAAATCATACATTCACAGTCAGAGAAAATATTTTCTTCCTTGTGATAACAGGAATGATATAGCTGACTCATGAGCTAAGAATTGTTTATACTATGCTTTCAAGTACAACAAAGAGAAACTGAGATTTGACAAGACTTTTTTCCCAGTGTTTTTCTAGCACTGGCTGACCCACTTTATTTTGAAAAGAGTGGGCAGTCTTCAAGAACTAGCACCTAGCCAAAGAATTTGGAAAGAGCTGTTGAAATGTTTAATTTGGCACAGCTTGTTAAATAATAATTACCAACAAACTAAAATAGCTGAAAAAATAAGAAAGCCAAACATTACATAGAAGGAAAACATTACTGTTTACTGAACCATTCACAGTGGTATTTGTCAGAGTTATGGATGAGAAATCTGGATGATACGCAATGAAATTAATATTTGATTGCCAAGGAAAGCTTTGAATGCTTTATCTTTCTGTGCTGTGAGCACTTAATCTTAAAGGAGTCAAAAGAACACACATAAATCCAATGGGTAGAGGTCCTGAATAAGTTACTGAATGGTAAGTCACTACTTAAGTAAATCCTACTGATTTAATAAGTCTAGTCTAATTGTATTGCTTCTAAGCTATGTAACTAAGGTAATTCCATAACTGATTAACTGATCTAGAATCACGACCAAGATTTTTTGAAAAAGTAATAATAATAATAACTTTATTTATAGACCATCCTTTCTCCCTAAAGGGACTCAGGGCAGTTTACACACACAAAAAGGCAAGCATTCAATGCCTCAGGTGAGTACAAACATCAAAATAATACACAGTAAAGCAACAGTAATGCATTTGTGGATAAAATTTGGCTATTAAATAAATGAGAAACACAAACACACTCACATCAAGAATTACTATGAATTTGTGATCCAGTAAGCAATATTTGGCCACATCGTGAGAAGACAGGAAAGCCCAAGCCTCCTGCAATGTTGTAACATCTTAATTATTGCTTCAATGCGATCTCAAAGCCATCTATATATGGGCCTTCCAGGAGATATTTTCCGTAAAAATAAATGCCCAAGTATTTAAATTGGTGGCATTGTTCAATCTGATGACCACTGAAAATGTCCTTTCCCAAACACTATCACTTTTATTTTCATGTACAGTAGAGTCTCACTTATCCAACCTTCTCTCATCCAACTTTTTCTGTTGATTTGTTGTAAAACATGATTCCAGGCCAAATTCACTGCCCAGACTCTTTAAGGTGCTGTTGTCTGAAAATGGAATGGCTACTTTCTTTAACTACTGGAGAATTTTAAAATATTCCCTAAGTCATGTTCTGAACAGCTGTAAAACAGCATAGTTTGGAGGCCAAGATAGCAAAGGTTGTGTCGAACCTTTGCTATCTTGACAATTTGTCCATCTTATATTCAAAAGAGAAGCTTTGTGAACACATTTTGAAACATGGTGCACAACTAGGCAGACAGAGCATGAACAGCTCTAATTTCTCGAAATTGTATAGACTCTTTAAATTTGGCCATCAAAGGGCTATTTACCTGGAGGGCTCACATTTCTGGGAGTCTTTTACAGCCCTTCGTCTTCAAAAATATGCCTACAGCTACGATTGATGGCAGATATGTTCATATTCCTCTGGTCCTCTGTGTATTTTGTGGAGCTCTAGAAATGGAAGAGTTGGCACATTATTTGATCTCCTGATCACTATATTCTGAACCAAAAATCAAATTCCTGGCATCTACTCTGTTTTATATACATTCCAATAATGTTTCAGAAAACAAATGATACTGATTCGATGGGAACTTGCAACTTTTTTCACTTCACCTTGACAACAATGCGAATTTGGGCAAGATTTATTGCTGATATTGTAGTTGATTTAACTGAGGATATTCTTATCTAATCTAATTTTATCTAATCTAATTCTAGTGTTCTCACTTATACTTAATATGTTTTAATTGTATTGTAATTGTATTCATTTTAATATGCAAGATCTATAGGCTATTTTTATGCAGTACGTTTACATTGTTGCACTTTTGTACTGTATTTATTTATTTTGTATGTGAATGATCTATGTTATAAGCATTAAGAAACTGTGAGTACACTTAGCATAGTTGTTTTTTCAGTTGAAGTGTATCAAACAAAATTGCCTATAGCGTACTCAGAAAGTATACCTTCGGTGGACTGTAACTGTCTGTATCAATACAATACTCTCCCTCGCCCCTGTGCTGGCCTTCGGATTTTCATCTCACTGTGGGGCTTGTGTGAATTGGGAGAGATGACAAGCATAAGAAAATGATTTATTTTCTTTCTCTAATAAGAGTTATGGCCCAGGTTGCTGCTCCTGTTACCAACTGTGCCAATAAGCCACCTTTTCGATCACAGACATCCTGTTATTTCATTATCTTCAACATCTAGCCCCTGCAGAACAAAGCTGGATTCTAGAATAAGATTAGGTTTTCAGCAAAGACACAGATATTTGAGGTTATCAAATATTTGAAACCAAAAATCCCAACTTTTAGTATATTAAAAAGTCTTCATAACAGGCTAGCTCCTTGTCTTCCTTGCTGTCATATTTTAAAGACGGTGTTTTGACAATAGGGATGTAGATCAGGAATTTTGAAAACACTCTTTAAAAGGAATGGGTAGAGGGCATATTTCAACTTGATGTAGAACTAGCCTGAAATCAGTCTCGTTCATGATATATAAATGCAACAACAGAGCCGCTGAGGGAATGGTGGGAAGGGCCACCTTTCTGTAGGCCCCTGGGGGGAAGAATATACAAGCACATTCTACCTGTTTTCTTACAACAAAATTGCAGAAAGCTGTGAACTCTGGAAAGAGCAGTGATACCAATGCTGGAACTGAGACTAGCCAGAAAGTAAGGCTGCATTATGCACAGCTGGAAGGAAAGGAACAACATTAAAGAGGGAGAGGAAATCAATGGCAGATGTTCAGAGTATAGCCATCCAAGTGTGCAGATAGGAAAGTGTTACTTCCTAAAAGTTACTAAATGTATTTTATAGGCCTGAATCCTAAAGTGTAACCCCATTGAATTAAAAATATTGACCCATGTGTTCACTCACCATACAACAAATGAGTCAATAAATGTATTCAAGTTTGGATTCGCCAATAAGATTCAGGCCAGGTTGTTTGCTGTGTCCGAGGATGTGCAACCCTGCTTTGAAAAAACAGTATTAAAACATTTTAATACATAATATGAAAGGATAGACAGGCCAAGAGAAAGCAAAATAAGAGTACCTGGGGTTACTAGACTGCTTTCTGTCTCAGATAACTACCATCTCCTGTCATCAGAAAAAACAAAGCCAAATGACTAACCTGAGGCTATTGTACTTTAGGTATATTATGAGACAGCCAGATCACCAGAAAAGATGATGATGCCCAGGGAAATGGAAGGCAGTAGGCAAAGGAGAGGTCATGTTACAGGTGGAGAAACTCAATCAAGGAAGCCATGGCTCTGAGTCTGCAAGACCTGAGCAAGGATGTTCATGACAGCTCTTGCTACCAATCTCACTTTATCTGAAGAAATAGGGGACTTTTTGTCATAAGAAAACTGGCAAAGAATTTCCAAAGCATAAAGTGATATAGGTAATCATTAGCTAATGTTATGTCAGAGCCCCCGGTGGCGCAGTGGGTTAAACCTCTATGCTGGCAGGACTGAAGACCGACAGGTCACAGGTTCGAATCCAGGGAGAGGTGGATGACCTCCCTCTATCAGCTCCAGCTCCTCATGCGGGGACATGAGAGAAGCCTCCCACAAGGATGATAAAAACATCAAATCATCCAGGCGTCCCCTGGGCAACGTCCTTGCAGACGGCCAATTCTCTCACACCAGGAGTCACTCCTGACACGACAAAAAAAATGTCAAAGTCAGACAGGATTATTTTCAACTTTTACAACAGTATAATTGTAGTGCCACAAAATACGATGTACTGTAGTATAGTATACAGCACATTGTACAGTTGCAGTGCCACAAAAAATTGTATGCTTGGGAATAAGATATTGTTTGAAGTCATACCCTACTGAATTCAAAATCAGCTTTAAGTACACGCAGGTTTGACACATTTTGAGGATTTTCATAAAGAGTGTAGGAACACAATTTAACCATTACTGATTTTTTAAAAGTTGTTTTGAGTTCTAGAAGCTGTTAAAAATAGAGGGGCTTAGTATTCCCTGGGATTTGATGTTATGGTCCTAATGGATACCAAAACCTATGAATGTTCAAGTTTCATCATATACAATAGCATAGAAGAATTATATAAAATAGCAAAATTAAGATTTGCTCTTTGGAGTTTTGGGGTGGAGTTATATTTTCAAGATATGAATAGTGGATAAAGAATCAATGTAAGTGCAAGGTAGACTGTCCATTCAGGAAGAATTGTGGGAGAATGGCCTTGAATTGGCATTGCTTGACCTCATGGATTTTATCAGGTTTCTGGTTGGTTGGGATCACCCATGCGATCGGTCAAAGAAGTCCTCGTCCCCATCTGGCCAGCCTTCCTCTATCTTCCATGATGTCAGCACATAACAAAATCTGTCGGGCTGCTTACTGTCATCACACTCACCGTCATTGCACCCAGCTTTCCAGACTTATAGTTGATCAGATTACAGAGCATGGGTACTTGTTAATCTTAAAAGCACAGAAGCTGTCAAGAGGAACATCATATCCTTTCCTCCTTAGCTGTCAGAACAAGGTGAACCTAAACCCAGTCCCAGTAATGCTATTAATTTTGCACCCTTAAAGCTACACACACACACACACACACACACACACACACACAATCAATTTGGGATGTGAGCAAATGTTTTTGTTTTTGGTTTGGAACTTTAAGTGTATAACATATAGTTCAGGCCTGATTCCACTAACATAATTTGTGCAGTATGGTAAATATACCTGTTGATAAACTATAGTGTCATTAGGAAAATAGTGAGATCCCAGTGCAGAGAAAGATTATGAAAACTAGGACAGATCCAGCCAAGCAAAATCAGAGTTTGGTCAAGATGGGTTAATGTTACTAGCGGAAGTCATTTCGGAACCATTGGCAACCATCTTTGAGAGTTCTTGGAGAACGGGAGAAGTTCCAGCAGATTGGAGGAGGGCCAATGTGGTCCCAATCTTCAAGAAGGGAAAAAAAGGTGACCCAAACAACTACCGTCCGGTCAGCCTCACGTCGATACCGGGCAAGATTCTGGAAAAGATTGTTAAGGAAGTGGTCTGCAAACACTTAGAAACAAATGCGGTCATCGCTAATAGTCAACATGGATTTATCAAAAACAAGTCATGCCAGACTAATCTGATCTCTTTTTTCGATAGAGTTACAAGCTGGATAGATGCAGGGAATGCCGTGGATGTGGCGTACCTGGATTTCAGTAAGGCCTTCGACAAGGTCCCCCATGACCTTCTGGCAAACAAACTAGTCCAATGTGGGCTAGGCAAAACTACGGTGAGGTGGATCTGTAATTGGTTAAATGGACGAACCCAGAGGGTGCTCACCAATGCTTCCTCTTCATCTTGGAAAGAAGTGATGAGTGGAGTGCCGCAGGGTTCCGTCCTGGGCCCGGTCCTGTTCAACATCTTTATTAATGACTTAGATGAAGGGCTAGAAGGCATGATCATCAAGTTTGCAGACGACACCAAATTGGGAGGGATAGCCAATACTCCAGAGGACAGGAGCAGGATTCAAAACGATCTTTTTTTTTTTTTAGATAATCTTTATTAGCATTTCAATATATATAAACTAGACATATCAAGTGCATGGGATGTAGGAAAAAGGGGGGGGGAGTGGGGAGAGGGGGGAGTAGGGGCAGGGTGAAGGAAGGGGAGGGAGGGGGGGGCTAAAAAAAGCTTGACTTCCAAAATAGTCCGCAGGGGTTATTCCAAATTTTGATTTCACTTCTTTTCCTTATCTTGATTACTTCCTCTACCTTCCTCCCCAACAATTTGGGGCGATGTTTTTCTTTACCTTCAAGAATGACCTCATTGGCTCCCAATCTGTCCTTTTTTTCTTACTTTTGTCCAGTAATAGATTGGCAAGTGTGTCCATATTCATTATTTCTCTGGCTTTTATTAGCCAGTCCTCCATGGTTGGTAGATCTTTTTTTTTCCATCTGCTCGCCATGACAGTCCTTGCTGCTGCCGTAAGGTGGTATAGTAACCTCTCTTTGTTGGGTTCAAGATTGAAATCTAATAGGTGAAGTAGGTAATACTCCGGTTTTAGCTCAAACTTAGTCTGTATTATTTGTTGGATCTGCTTGTGGATCTCTACCCAGAAGCTCTTCACTCTCTTGCATTGCCACCATGAGTGTATGTATGTTCCCAGATGGGAACCACATTTCCAACAGCTGCTGTTCGCCCCTTTATAGAATTTTGCTATTTTCTGAGGGGTAAGGTGCCAACGATAGGCCATCTTGTACCAATTTTCTGTTATCGATGATGCTTTTGCAAACCTGACTTTCTCTTTCCATATTTTCTCCCACTCCTGGAGTAGTATGGTGTGTCCGAAATCTGTGGCCCATGCGATCATGCTTTCTTTAATTAGTTCTCTTTCTGTGTCCCATATAAGGAGTTTTTGGTAGATCACTTTTATCAGTTTTTTTTCCTTCCTCATTATTGAGTCCCAAAAGTTGTCTTGTGAGGCAAACCCATTTTTATTATCTTCCTTGTATGCGTCTGACACTTGAAAATAGTGAAACCAGGATAAGTTTTCATCTATCTTCCTGATTGCCTCTATTGATTTTAGTTTTAGTTGGTTGCCTTTATTTTCTAGTAATGTTTTATAGGTATGCCATTTACTACTTGGGAACTCTCTCTTATGATTGGCCTCAATGGGTGAAAGCCAGAGGGGGGTTTTACTGTAGAAGTTTCTCTTGTACTTTGTCCATATTTTGAGGAGGGCCGCTCTTACAAAGTGGTTGGTAAAAATTTTCTCGATCTTTGCTTTGTCATGCCATAGGTAAGAGTGCCAACCTCTGCGGATGTCGAATCCTTCTAAGTTTAGCAGTCTTATCTTTGCCAGCGTGGTCCATTCCTTCACCCAGGTTAAGACACTGGCCTGGTAGTACAGCTGAAGGTTTGGCAGGCTTAAACCTCCTCTCTCCTTTGAGTCTGTTAGGGATTTGTACTTAATCCTTGCTTTTTTACCGTTCCACACAAATTTCAGAACATCTCTCTTCCATTGTGTGAAGCAGTAGTTGGTCCTGAGTATCGGAATCATCTTAAATAAGAAAATCATTTTTGGGAGCACGTTCATCTTCACGATGGCAATTCTGCCTAGAAGACTTAGATTTAATTGTTTCCAGCTGTCCAGCTTCTTGGAAATGCCTTTCCAGGTTGTTTCGTAATTATTTTTCACCAGCTGCGCGTTGTTTGCCGTTAGGTATTTAACCTTATTGGTGACCTCGAGCTGCGTTATCTCTTGTAACCTGTCTTTTTTAGCTGTATCCATATTTTTCGTCAGGATTTTGGTTTTGGCCTTGTTGAATCTCAGGCCTGATATTTTCCCGTAGCTGTTTATTTTGGCCATCCAATCTTGTATCGTCTCAAGCGGGTCCTCAATTATACAGACGATATCATCAGCGTAAGCCTTTACTTTGAATTCATCTTTCCGGATTTTAGCGCCCTTCAATTTGTCGTCTCTCCTGATCTCTTCCAGCAGGATCTCAAGTGTCATTATGAACAGCAGCGGCGATAGCGGGCAGCCCTGCCTGGTGCCTTTCTCGATGTTAATATTTTCTGTTTCTTGCCCATTGATCCGAATTTTAGCTCTTTGTGTGGAGTATATTGTACTTATGGCATTGGTAAAGTGGAATCCCATATCTTTTTCTCTGATTACTTGAAGCATGTATTCCCAGCTGACACGATCGAAGGCCTTCTCGGCGTCAAGGAACAGCAAACCCAGCTCTTTCTGCGTATTAACTGCATAATATTCTATTATATTCAAGGCTGTTCTCAAATTATCACCCATATGCCTTGTTGGCAAGAATCCCGTTTGGTCTTCATAGATGGTGCCGCTTAGAAATTCTTTCAATCTGTTTGCTATTATACTGGCAAAGATTTTATAGTCTGTATTCAACAGTGATATTAGTCTGTAGTTTTTCATATTCTCTGTGTCGGAGGTTTCTTTTGGGATGAGAGTGATAATTGCCTCTCGCCAGGTA